GGGGAGCCCGCGGCATGTCGCCCCACCTCTGGCTACCGGAGCCAGGCCTGGCAAATCCGGGCTTGACGCGGGGCAGAACTGCGGCTGGGGCATCGTTGGGCGCAGCCTTGCTGCCAGCCTCCGCTGCTGCAGTGCTGCATTGCTCATCCCGGCTGCATCGCCGTTCCTCCGGCTGTGAGGAGGAGCTCGTTTTTCTTCCTCCTCTTTTGCTACAGTGCCGTTACAACCTGTGAGATTTTTTGAGGTTTGCAAAGTCTTTTTGTGCTAAGTTACATACCATGGGCTCATATTATTTAGAGCTGATACGTTTTGCTGCAGAGATTGTCTCAGTTTTTGCATGAGAATAATGTGTAGGGATTAGACTCGAGCTAACCCTGTGTCACTCATTATACAAAGAAAAGCCCTTTATAGCTTTGTACTGTACCTTCTCACAAAGATGACATTCATCTCTATAAACCTGAAAGAGATCCATGCATTTCTCCTTCCTACAAGCACCCTTGTCTCTGGCCAGACGCTATTCATGGGCAGCCCCATGCGTCCGGGGCAAGCACAACAGCGCGGGTGCCAAGGGCGTGCTGTTTACTTGGAGCCTTTGTGCTTCTGCTCCTGCTTTCGCTGGGGAAGAATAGGCTGCGCTGCAGTCCGGTGGCTTGAAAGAAGGCTCGAGCCCCAGGAAACGACTTTTGATTCTTGGTAGTCGTTGTGAGGAATTTAGGGCAGGATCGTGGAGCGCAGTCCCCCACGCTGTAACCGATCACGTGTTCGGTGTTCAGTTCGGGGAGGCTTCCACAGCGTGCAGCCAGCGCAGGCATGGCACACCCGCAGCAGAGCCAGGCCTGGCAGCGCACGAGGAGGGGACCGGAGAGCCGAGGGCACTGCCAGGCTTGGCTCCGTGGTCGTTCCTGGGAGCACCTCTACCCTGGGACCCGTTCCCGTTGTTTCCAGGCATCCGTGTTCACATCCAAAACGTCTTAGAGATGCAGCAGCCTGGCGTGGAGCAAGGTGCCGTGGGGTGTGACCCATTAACTGACCTCGAGTCTGGGATTTCTGGCACGCTGCCGTCAGGATGTCTGTGCTGGCTCCGCCGCAGCACCCGCTGCCGGACCGATTGCCTGGTTCACAAAGAGGAGGAGGGCCCGAAGAGCGGGAAAGGGCTGGGAGGCTCCTTCGCTGGCTTTCGGCATGCGAGGAAAAGCCCTCTCAGGAAACCCCTGTAAAAGCTCCAGCGCTGCCCAAAGCGAGAGCAGCAAAAGTCAGTCGCTGAACTCAAACCGGGTCGGTGACAGCTCTGTGCTGGCAGCTCCTGGGCAAGCTTAAGGAGAAGGCTGTCCTCGCGGGACTGGGAGAGGAGCTGTCTTCTGCTCAGGTGGCACAGCAGAAAGCTGTCTGTCTCTATTCATCACAGCAAAGCTTGGAGAAGAGAGGAGAGAGTACCCTGCTTTGTGCACAGGTGTGTTGGGGAGCAAAGCTGCACAATGTGTAGCTGGTGGTGTGTTCCACACCAAAAGTGGCTTCTACACCATCTGCAAACTAAGCAATGCTCTGTAGTTTTCTTGATTCTCCTCTCAGGTACGATGGCGTGAAGATGGGGTAGACTATACCATGCAAGGCTGGTCTTGGTGAGACCTGAGCTTGAGTGCTGATAGCAGTTTACCTGAAAAAGTTTACAAGACTTTTAGAACTGCCCTTCCAAAGAAGATCCTTTAGAAAGTACCAAATACTGTTTGTGTGCTACATCTCTCAAAGTCTTTGTCAGAAGTATCTGCAAGAGACAGAATTCAGCTGTAATTCTGCTGAGGAGGAGGCCAAAATGTGATCTAGAGACTTCTCCAGGACATTGTAGCAGGCTATGGATGAGCTGAATTTGCCAAATGAGCTGAATTTGCAAAAGTTGCAGTGGAGGGAATCAGTGCTGGTGTAGCCACTGGCTCTTGCTGAGGGGAAGAGCTGGAGGGCTTTGGGGAACAGGAATAATCTCTGCTGTTGTCATAACTGTGCGTCTGAATGCATAGGTTAGGGGCCAAGGGCAGGAGACAGCTGCCTGCAGACACTCAGAGAAATACAGATCAACAAAAATGAATCCTGTGGAAATGGGTAATGATCAGAAACAACAGAGGAAACGGCTGTAGAGAAATAAAGCAGTCTGAGTGTAGGGCAAGGGCAAGGATAGCTATTAATAAGCATGTTTGTGTGGCTGGGATTGACAGGAAAGGACGTTAGCACCAGGCAGCACAGAGCAGCTCAGCCCGTGTTCTTCAGTCCTCCCCGGTGCGGGTTGGCTCTGCGGCGGCAGCGAGGGACGGGCTGTGGCAGCGAGCAGGCTCCAGCCCACCTCCACAGCCCGGCGGGTCTCGTGCCTCCGGGGCTTGCGGTGTTTGACAGGGAATTAGCAAGTGTCTTATGGAAGGGTCTTGAAATAATTATTTGCTCTGCCCTTGGTGTCCTATTCAAACCGGAGCAGGGAGGTTGCCAGCAGACCCTCCCGGGGCTCTCTGTGCAGCAGGAACGAGGGTTCAGTGCTGCATTAGTTATCAAAGCCTCACAATGATGAATCTCAGGAAGATTTCCAGGGGCTGCAAATGCAGATAACATACATGCTAATTTCTGCTGAAAATGGTGAGAGGCAAAGTAACTTCCCCTTTAGTTCCTGTCGCCTCAGGAGATTCAGATTTGAAGCTTCCTTAAGAAGGAGTTTGATATTCAATTATCTAGACCCGGGTGGCTGTTTTCACAGATCTCAAGGCCATCATCCGCTGGGGCTTTAGCACTGGCTTCGCATTCAGGAGGAAATGGATCTGGAAGGGCAGAGATGGCAGGAGCTGGAACCTCCGGGGCTTGCAGTGTTTGACAGGGAATTAGCAAGTGTCTTATGGAAGGGTCTTGAAATAATTATTTGCTCTGCCCTTGGTGTCCTATTCAAACCGGAGCAGGGAGGTTGCCAGCAGACCCTCCCGGGGCTCTCTGTGCAGCAGGAACGAGGGTTCAGTGCTGCATTAGTTATCAAAGCCTCACAATGATGAATCTCAGGAAGATTTCCAGGGGCTGCAAATGCAGATAACATACATGCTAATTTCTGCTGAAAATGGTGAGAGGCAAAGTAACTTCCCCTTTAGTTCCTGTCGCCTCAGGAGATTCAGATTTGAAGCTTCCTTAAGAAGGAGTTTGATATTCAATTATCTAGACCCGGGTGGCTGTTTTCACAGATCTCAAGGCCATCATCCGCTGGGGCTTTAGCACTGGCTTCGCATTCAGGAGGAAATGGATCTGGAAGGGCAGAGATGGCAGGAGCTGGAATAAATGAGAGATTTCCTGCTGTTGCCGGACCTCGAGCTGTTGCCAGCTCTGGACCCTGTATTGCAAATCTCAAGGGACCGGTGGGATCCTGGGCTCCAGTTCAGACTCATGTCTCATTTACTGCTGGAATTTAGGGACCACAAAGAGTCACAGAAGTTTCATATGTTCTCGCTCCTCTGGTTGTTCTGAAACCCTGCTAGCGGAAGCTTTTGCTGTGCTGCTGTTCTGAAGCCTCACAATACTGGGTACTTAACATTTACTGAAGCAATTCCCACGTGCAGTGTGGAGTATCCAACTGTGATTTTACCAGCCTAGAAAACAGATTTCCCCTTTGTTTTTAGCTTCCCGTGGTGCAGTCCATAGCTCCCCTGAATGGCCCGAAGGCTGGAGGAACCAGAGTGACCATCAGAGGCAGCAGGCTGGACGTCGGCTCTGAGCTCCGTGTCCTCGTCAACACCTCCAAGCAGTGCACTGACCTCAGGTAGGACCAGGTCTGGGGGCTAGCACTTGGGCATGGCTGTTGCCGAGCTAGTGACAAGAGCCAAAGCATTAGGACGGACGATATTTCTCCCCCAGGAGATCAGGAGGAGCTGGGGTTTTGGTGGGGGGCACCACTGCATGCTGCTGCTAGCCTTGGAGCCAGCGTGGCATCCCCACCGGCTGGCTTGGCTGCTGGCTTCTCTGCTTCCAGTGCCCCACCAGCCTGGTGTCCCCGGAGCGATGAGGCAGAGCTGTGCTGCGGGTGCCTGGCACCAGGATGGGGCGAGTTTCTTTGGCAAAGCTGTGCAGCTGGTGTTGCTGTGATGAGGTGGCAGCGACCAGCAGCGAACAAAGTGCTTCTTCCACGCTGTTTGCAGGATGCTGCCAGGCCCCTTGGGTGAGCTGGGACCGGGACCAAACCCTGGGAGCAAAGCAGACGTAGGTTTTGTACCCGTATCTGCCAGAGGCAGAAGGTACCTGCGCTCCCAGGGTCCGGTCAGGAGAAACCTCTCCCGTACGTTCCCGTCTCGTCAGGGCAGAAGTAGGAGCCTGCCCTTTTGCTTTGGCTGTATGGGAGAGGAGTCTGGCAGCCGGGGTTGGTACGTGCTGAGGATTGCTCATTAGTGGGCAATGCAGTGAACAGGCGATCAGCACGTGCCTGGGAGCTGCCCCTTGCCCCGCGCCGGAGCGCGTGCAGGTCCCGGGGGCCTGGCTGCAGCCGCTCGGTCTGCCATGGCTGTCTGCAGCTGACCCTGCCTTCCCTGCGCAGCCGCAGCGACAGCACCATCACCTGCACCATGCCGTCTGCGGAGCTCACCACGGCCGTGCAAGTCTGCGTTCAGTTCGAGAACAAGTCTTGTGCCAGCTACAACATCACGTTCAAGTATGAGAAGAACCCGATTATATCAGACATCAACCCCAAAAAGAGCCAGATCAGGTGAGATCCTCCCCAGTGGAGACAGCCAGGATTTGCCCGTCCGTTTGTCGCCTGTGCTGAGATCAGCCTCTTAACTTTTGCCGAACGCGAAAGCGAGCAGTGCTGTGCCATCAACGCGCAGAGCCGGTGGCAGCATCCCAGTGTCGCCTGCTGCAGGCTGGCCCCCCCTCTGCTTCAGGCCATCCAGACACCGAGCAGGTGCTGAGCACACTCGTGTCCGGAGCCCGGGGCCGCCAAAGCGCGGCCGGGAGGCAGGGTACGGCGCTGGGGCCCCGTGCCGCGCTGCTGTGGCACCGTGACTTCCATTTCAGGGCTGGCACATCTCTGCCTCTGCCTGCAAGGGAGAGGCTCGGCTCTGGGCCGGTGGGAGAGGGTCCCGCAGGGAGGAAGGGGCTTTCTCCGCCCTGGGGTCTGGCACATTGCCTTGCAGACGGGTACAAAAGGGGCACCGCAGAGTGCTCTCAGGGTGCTTCGGGGCACCCCAGCACCGGGGTAGAAGAGGTCTCGCACACCAGGACCGTCCATAGCTCATTTCAGTGTGTTTAGGACACGGAAACAAGGCAGCCTTGGTAACTGTGCTGTGTACACCTGGTGGGTGCTTTAGGGAGATTCAGGTGGGGGCCTCTGTGAGACCCTGAGGATTTTTCTTGGCAGTAAAACTGCTGGACGATAAGCTGAGATTTGTAATTTAGGATTTCAGCCTTCCCCAAGGTCACAGTATTTCATTTTTAAAGCATGTTGTTTTTAGTTTCATGTCTCTCCATGGAGCTCTTAGGCTCCTGTTCCTTTGGATACCATGGTGGAATCCCACTTTCCTCAGCTGTGGGGCCTGGAAAACCCAGGTCTGACCCAGAAATCCGAGAGTCCAGTGCCTGTGCCTGCAGGACCGCGGTGAAGGCAGCATGCTGGGGTGTGAGCACGCGGC